TGTTTTTTCCAACATATGGCCTATTCATTAAAATTTGTTAAAAAAAAAAAACACCAAAAAAAACAATAACAAAAAAATAACCTGTTGATTTAATTATAAGCAAATCTTGATTAAAAGCAATTTCAAATTAACAGGGTGTTAAATGTCGCATAGGACATACAGACTGGAAATGTCTGTTAAATCCGAAGTTCGTTAAATTGAAGCCTGCAAAATTGAGGGTTTACCATACACCAGTGGTCTTCTCCCTGCCTCTTGTACATAGTCTGTCTGTCATGGATGGTTTGCAGTTTTCTCCACAATCTTCAGGCTGCCAATCCAAGTTTTCTGTCTTTTTCTTACTCCTGCACTCTTAGCATTGGCATAGATGATACAGCAGAGAACATGATGGAAAGTAATTCCTGCCCTTGTGAAGCTTACAGTCTAGTTGGGGAAGACAGCTATAAACAGTTGAATTATATAGTATATTATAATAGATGGTGATACATGCTAGAGAAAAACAAATCACTTATAAGGATTAAAGAAGCAGTAGAGGGTTATGGGTTATTTTAATAGTCATTATTATCCATTGGATAAAAGTCTCAACGAGAGTTCTATTATTAGGACACAGAGAAAGGATCTGCATACTCTTAAGAAGTTTATTTCTTTATCCCTTTGAGGCTAACTGATCTAATTGTGCTCTTACCTTGTTTACTATGTGACTGCGCTAGCAGTAATCTTTTTTTCTTTCTCCATCTTTAATTGCTTTTTTTCACTCCTTTTGGACTAATACATGATCTTTTCATCATCTGTGTACTTTTCTTTTAAACCCTCTCTTTCTATTACCTCAATATGATTTACCCTTTAATCTCTCTGGCCCTGACTTCCACACTTTCCTACCTTTGTGTAACTCTTTGCTGTATGCTTCTGTTTGGATGCATTGCCATGAACTCCAATTTGTCTTAAGCAAATAACACCAATTGTTTCTTCCGCCCAAACTTATTTTCTGCCCAGTTCCTCTAATTCTTTCAGCCACTTGGGCATGGAACCCTCTAATTCTCCTGCTAGCTATTTAAATTAATAAGGAGTAGAAATTACTTTTTAAACTTACATTTAACTTTTAGACATTACTATATTTAATGCTTTTAAGCATATTATAGTATAAAATCGCTCATCTTATTTTAACTACATACCGTATTTTCCGGCGTATAAGACGACCTTTGAAACGAAAAAAAGTCAACCAAAAATCGGGGGCAAAAGACCAAAATTGCACAAAAATTACCTGCAGATCTTGACGACAAAGTAAGTCTTTTCTTTGAAGTGGGGGTTAGTCTTACAGTGAATATAGGCATAACCCTATGTTTTAACTGTAAAATTAGGGTGTCGTCTTATACGCCGGAAAATATGGGTACCTAAATAGGTTTTTTATGTTAAGGGCAGACTATGCATGAAATTTTGGAAACTATCTTGTCCTGACCTTTGAGTCACAAGTGAAAGCTTTTACCTGAAGAGGAAAGAGGTTCTTTTTTTAGTTGTTTATTAGGCCAGGGATGAGGCTCTTCATGTAATACTGTCTTTACATACAGAGAAGAGGTTTTATGTTCAGTTTATGGCCCCAATTTCAGAGAGAGAGATGAACATTTGAACAATGTAAGAAAGACTTGTTCAGTATCTTTTACTTTTGAAATAATTGCTTTTCAAAATGATTGGTCATTCTGAATGTGATTTTAGAGCCTATCAAGAAAGAAGATTTCTTTCACAGCTCATCCAGAAGTTTATCTGTGTGCTGAAGTCAGTCCCGCTTTCTGGTAACTGTCTTCTTTTACTCGGCTTATTGTAAAGTTTTTTAGACGTCCATATAGAATTTACTCATCTTTAATCTATGAACTGCCCATAGAGTGATTTTATTTTATTTATTTTATTTTATTCTTTTGTTAATCCTTACCTGATCATATTTTCCATTGATTTTTTAAAATTTAAATTTTATTTTATTTTTTTTTTTAAACGAGAGTGGAAGGGATAGGAAGAGACAAGAGAGAGAACATCAGTTGGTTGCCTCCGCATGAGCTCTGACCAGGACCGGGGATCGAGCTTGCAACTGAGGTACATGCCCTTTACTGGAATTGAACACAGGACCCTTCAGTCTGCAGGTTGACGCTGACGCTCTATCCACTGAGCCAAACTGGCTAGGGCAGAATGATTTCAAATTAAAATGATGAAGTGTATGTCCTCCCCTTTTCAAGTATATTACCAGTCAATATTGTTACTGCTGTGAAAAAAATCACAAATATTAAAGGCATCAGCATGGTTAGCAAAACATTCATTTTTTTTAAGCAAATTATTTTAGCTTGGTTAAAGACCCTGTTCCTTAACAAAGAGCTAAGACAAAGTGGTAAACAAGATAATCACAGACCCTGTCCACATGAATTACAGTGTGGCACAATTCAAGTGACATCAAACACTGGAGAGAAAGAGAATTTTCTTTGAGGTATGAGGTACAAGACAAAATGGAAAGGATTTTCCTTGTGGCCCCCACTTATTGATGAAACATGTGAGTATATACAATACTATGTAGAGTATACACTTTAAATACATAATGATCATTGTCCTGACTGGGTGGCTCAGCTGATTGGAGCGTTATCCCATACACCAAAGATTGCAGGTCAGTTCCTCATCACAGCACTAACCTAGGTTGTGGGTTTGATCCCTGGTCAGGGTGCATACAAGGAGCAGCTGATGGATGTTTCTCACATTGATGTCTCTGTCTGTTTCTCCCTCCCTCTGAAAAAAATCAATAAGCATATCCTTGGGTAAGGATTTAAAAAAATGTTTACAATATATCATGATTACTGTAGACTATATATAGATGTGTGTGTGTGTGTGTGTGTGTCTGTGTGTGTGTGTGTGTGTGTGTGTGTCTGTCTGTGAGAGAGAGAGATATGCTTATATGCCAAGCAGACCAACTACATTATGCTCGGTTTACAAGATCTTTATAAACGTTTAGTGAATGCAAATAGAAGGTGGATATATGCTATGCATGATATGTCATTGGTTAATAATATTTTCTTTCCTAACTGGATTGTAATATAACAACAGCTCTATAGATGTATGATAGTGCTATTTTTGCAAGACTATTTAAAACAAAAATGTAAATGTTTGTTACAATAGTGCATTAATGCTTATGGATAGTATAAAATGAGTGATTTAAAAAAATACTTTATTGCTCTGTGTCATTGACATATTAATGTCAAAAGGAATACATATTAATGTACAGTGGAAAATAGTCCTAAAAATTATTCCTTTAATTAGTTTGCTGTGTAACTTTCCCACCCATTTTCTTTGTGTTATATAGTATGTTGTATGCATATGTGTGCACATATATGCATCTGTTTTATGCACATGAAAGAAGTTCTGAAAATTTAGCATGTGAAGACAAGGAAAGTGGGGCAAAAACTGATATAAAACTTTCTAGTTTTTATATCTCAGGTTTTTTCAAAATCGTTCACAAATTTTTAAAAATTAATACTTTAAAATATTTTTGCAAATCTTATTTTTTTTATAATGTGTTTCTGATCCATGGTAGGTTTTTCATTTTCTTATATTTGTAGAGCTAAGCATAAGGGTAGGGCCAGCCTTCTTTTGAAATCTGAGGTCCTTATTCTCCTAATAGTCCAATCCTGATGAATAAGAGACAAGTGGCCTAGTTTAAATAACTGCCAATTTTAAGATATAATAATACAGAATAACCTAAGTAAGAAAATTCTAACATGCTTTCTTCATTATATCTAGAACCTGTCACTATGGACAAAGTTCATTACTGTGAAAGATTCATTGAACTTATGATTGATCTAGAGGTAAGAAATGTGATATGCTAAGGCCACTCAACTGCTCACTGTGTTATCATTAAGGAGGCTAAAGTTATGCATATGACTATATATGAAACATTTTTTTCACCTCAAACTGGTTTTAGTTTAATTTACATATTTCAAGCGTCTCATAGAGAAGAAAGTCAAAGCAGTTGATCTTGAAGTTTTCAGATGGCTGCTGTTTATAGGAAAAACATTATTTAGTATAGTTGTTAAATATGAGCTCAGCAATGGCAGTTTATTTTCTGTCACATTTTAATATCTCTTCTTAGAGTTCTCAATAGTGGCTGAAATCATGGATTTGTGGCCATCTCTTTAAAACCTAACTTTGAAAAATTTGCCTAATGTTGATGAAGAACGATATAGCTGCTATTGTCAACTTTTTCTCATTAAGATTCTTAGAAAATTTCATATTATTAGGTAAAAGATTTTGGTGAAAAATTCAGATACAGAGTTGGTGTACTTCAGATTGACTTTATTTCCTTTCCATCTTTAATGAAGCAAATTGAAAGAAAATCTTTTCCGTTTGTCCCTTATCTGGAAAGGTGGGGTGGTTCTCAGCCTGAGAGTCAGAGTATTAGACTAGTAGTCATTCATGAGATCTTCATTCGCTTTCTAGCTCTGCCCCTAACTAATTTATAGACTCTGGGGACCTCAATAACTTCACCCATTAAATGGGGGTGTTTGATTAGATTAGTGGTTTTCACACTGGCAGTTCCGTTGCATTGCCTTGCTAACTGTCATAGGGGGTATGGGAGGTGGAAACCAAAACAGGAGTCTCCATTCAGGGTTCCTCACTCCATTTTTTCTCAAAGCAGTTTCATTTTTAAACCTTTATACAGTGGGATTTTATTTGGGGGGAAAAACTCAAAAATCTGTACTTTTTGGGAAATATTAGCACCAAGTTTATTTACAACATGGTTGTAATGCTCTGGTTGCTTTGTGAATGATGTCTTTGGGTGACTGGAGGGGACTTTGAATGTGATTAACACTTTCAAGTTTAAATATCAATAATTTCACCTCCAGCTACAGGAAACCTGCAGACTTACAGCTGTGGGGTTTATTTTTTCTAGGCCCTACTCCCCACAAGGCGCTGGTTTAATACCATCCTGGACGACTCCCACCTTCTGGTTCACTGCTACCTTTCCAATCTTGTTCATAGGGAAGAGGATGGCCATCTTTTTTCCCAGGTGAGCATTGACGTATCTGAGCATACTTACTGTTCTTATTTCTGAATTGACCTTTTTTCTGCCGTGAAACCGGGAGTACCAGAGCATTACACAGAGTAATTTTGCTTTATATTGAATTGAATAATGAAGATTTCTTATTAGTCATTTTTAAGTAAAATCAAGTCTTAATGTACAAAATGAATGCAATCCTGTATAGGTGGCCTCTAGAACTGACATACTATAACTTTTTCCAGTCACGTGACTTTATTATGATTTTACTAAATTGTGTGTGATGTAGTCCCACATAACCACTGTGGAATATAACAGATGATGACCATTAACGTCAAGTAAACTATGCCCTAACACTACGACCCTCCTTCCATGAGATGATGCTGACGGGCAGTTGAGAGTGTGGACCTGTATACGCTTTGTTTGCTAACTTGGATAGGATGATGAAAGTGTTAGCATTTTCATCTCCTGTAATGTCATCTAGAAGAAAAATCTTCTAACAAACTTCTAACACTTGTCTTTTGATGAGATCATAGTTAGAGATACAATTTTTATGTGTTTACATATTATAAGTCTTTTATCTTGTGTCTGTGAACACTCCTTTTTCTTTCTCGTTCTCTTATTAAATCCCAGTGATTTGATTCATATATTAAAATCCTACTATCTGCTTTGCCATAGATTAGAATTAAGGATAATAAAGAGTTGGGGCAAAGGCAGCCAATGAACTGTGCTGATGCTGCCGCGGCAGGGGAAGCAGGCCTCCCTGAGCAGCGGGAACTGAGCCAAAGCACAGCCTGGTGGCCGTGGAGACGGAGGAGAGGAGTGGATCAGTGAGCCTTCCCCACCTTGCTGTTTTCCTTCATGGAAGCAGCATATAGAGAAGAGATTCTTCAGTCGTGAATTCCAAAACCCTCATTCAGAAAATTCTCAGTGGCCAAAGTAAAAGACCTCAGGAGTTTCTTCTAGTGCCGTGGTTGGCAAACTGCAGCTTGTGAGCCACATACGGTTCTTTGGCCCCTTGAGTGTGGCTCTTCCACAAAATACCACGGCTTGGGCGAGTCTATTCTGAAGAAGTGGCGTTAGAAGAAGTTTAAGTTTAAAAAATGTGGCTCTCAAAAGAAATTTGAATCGTTGTACTGTTGATATTTGGCTCTGTTGACTATTGAGTTTGCCGACTACTGCCCTAGTGGTATCTCTACTAATAAAAGCCTAGGTGGCCCTTATGCGCAACATTGTCACAAGATGGCTGCCATAAAGATGGCCAACACAGGATAGTTACAAGCATAGTGGAGGCGGGGCCGGGCAGCCACATGGAGGAGGCGGGTTGTGGCAGGGGAGGGCAGTTGGGAGTGATCATACCAGCAGGGGAGGGCAGTTGGGGGTGATCAGACCTGCAAGGGAGAGGTTAGGGGGCGATCAAGCTGGCAGGCAGAAGTGGTTAGAGGCCAATCAGGCAGGTTAGGAGCCAGCGGTCCCAAGTTGTGAGAGGGATGTCCTGTCACCGGTTTAGGCCCAATCCCCGGCAGTTGGACATCCCCAAGGGGTCCTGGATTGGAGAGGTACAGGCTGGGCTGAGGGGGACGACCCTCCCCCCCCTTTGTGCACGAATCTCATTCACTGAGCCTCTAGAAGTTCTATAAATTTGTAGTCATGTAGATTGATTTCTCTCCTCCCCCTCCCCCAATTGAAATGATTGGCTTTGATTAGCTCATTAATGTCTCTTATTATTGGGGTTGGAACCTAAGTTCTCTGTATAAGTAGACCATGTATCAATATTATATATGAAATAGACTTGAATTATTCACATACTACCTACTCTCACATAAATAAAACACACTTGGGTATGTTCTGAAATGTTTGTTATACTATTTACAAAATAAAAATTTTCAGCACCTTTAAGAAGGTAAGTGGACTTGTTTATTAGTTCTAATAATCAGTGTCTGTTGATGTTTTCTTGCTCTTATGTTCACACAGTTTATTAATTTAAATATATCCTTTCAGCTTTTGGACATGCTTAAGTTCTATACTGGTTTCGAGATTAATGACCAGACTGGAAATGCTCTGACAGAGAACGAGATGACTACCATTCATTATGATAGAATCACTTCTCTACAGGTAATTGAAATGCATGGTAACCTTTGCTTCTGCTCCATAGCGTTAGGCCATGAGTAATTTGTGGTTTTAATAGTACTAATAGAATAGGTATTAATTTAACACTGTTTTCATTTTGAATTTAGAGCTCATGGAAAAAAAAAATGGCTTGCTTTCATAGGCCTCATCCTGATTCTCAAAAATAACAGTTACTGGACCAATGTAGTGCATTTAAATATCAGTTGTATTTTATGAAAGGAGATATTTCAAAGGAGATATGACAAAGTAGTATGAACAGTTTGTACAGTTTTTTTAACTATAATTTTTTATTAAAAAATTTTTAAGCCTTACCCAAGGATATGTTTATATGTTTTTACTGACTGGATAGAGGGAGAGGGAGAAAGAGAGAGAGAGAGAGAGAGAGAGAGAGAGAGAGAGAGAGAGAGAGAGAGAGGGAGGGAGGGAGGGAGGGAGGGAGGGAGGGAGGGAGGGAGGGGAGGGAGGGAGGGAGGGAGGGAGGGAGGGAGGGAGGGAGGGAGATTGATTCATTGGTTGCCTCCCACAGTTGCCCCTACCAGGAATTGTACCTGCAACCCTGTATGTGCCCTGACTGGGAATGAATCTCGCCACCTTTTGGTCTATAGGATGACCCTCTAACCAACTGAGCAACAATGGCCAGGGCAACATTTTGTACATTTTAAAGATAAGCACAGGCAATGAAATTTACCAATATAGCTCAGATGTGAAAAAAATATCTTTGTGTTCTATTAATGCTAAAGAAACTTTTGTTTGTCAATTTAAAGTAATTCAGTTCTTTCTGTTATAAAAAGTCATTTTTGGGATAAAGATTCAAACTTAAGTTCAACTGTCTCTCATAATTAATTCCACTTTCTCTCACGGTGTCTCTGCTCTCCCTCTTCTTTCCCAGTCGGCACTGGGGTGCACGGAGACACTAGGATAGCCTCATTGTTTGCAAGATCGGCACACTGTCTCCGCTCAGACTTTCCTGCTTTTCTCAGAGCGTTATTGTTTTTGTCCTTGCGCCTCTGCCCTTGAAGTGACCCTGGCTGGTGCGGCTTGTGGTCTGTGTTCCTGGCACAGGCAATGCATGATGATTGCTCTCAAGGAGCTTGGCTGTCTCCCTGCTGACGAGGCCCAGCTTTGTTCTTGATGGTGCTAGAACTCTTCCTGAGAGGTGACTCCCATTCATTTCCTAGCTTAGCTCACACTTCAGGTCTGGATTGCAGGGTCATTTGCCATTGCCTGTATTAATCTCATGGCAAGCTCATCCATAACCTTGGCAACTTTCTGCATGATCCACTATGGGGTACATGAAAACTTCTGGGTCTTCTGTGTGCCACATGTGCATTAAGGAAGACTGGGGATGTTATCTCTTTCTCTATCAAATCAGCTTAATGCCACTATTTCTGTTTTCTTCCAGCTTACCCCATGTTGGTTGGGGTGGTACCTGCAAGGGCCTCTGTTTCTGGGGTTCTAATGTAAACCAGGGCATAAACTCACTATACTAGATACTAGTACTTTTGGCCTCAAGCTATTTCTTCAGTGGGAATTTTCCTTAAAAATTAAAACTCTCTTTTAGTTTTGTCAAAGCCATTTCTTGATAATAGTGTTTTCTTTTTCTTCCCTCATGTCAATGAAGCTGGCTTTCCTATATATTCAGAGAGCAAGTTTAGAAATAAAAAAATTGAACATTGACTCGTTATTTTTGCAATTCTGCTAGGACTTTTCTAGTTTTCCCCTAGTGTACTGACTGCTCTGGCTAACTAAGGCAGAAGTCACATAAGAGAAGAATTTAAAAGAGAAGTGCATAAGTATATTCTAAATGTTTTTATTATAGAGTACATAAGTTGTAGTTGTATTAATTGTAATTGTATTAATAGGTGGACATTAATTATTCATTTTTTTGTGTGTTTGCTGTTCTTTTCTAGAGAGCTGCTTTTGCCCATTTCCCTGAACTCTATGATTTTGCCCTCTCAAATGTGGCAGAAGTAGATACTCGGGGCTCCTTGGTCAAGTTATTTGGACCTCTTAGGTAAGGTAACATGAAAGGAAACCTGAATTTTAATTTTTTCTTTTGTAATACTTAGGTAATGTTACTTGCTACCCTATTTATTGACAAGCAGAACTAGCTAGTGCTTCTCTCTAGCATGTGGTATCTTTAAGTTACATATATATAATTATCCGACTTTTTCTGTTTTTTGGAAAATTTATATTTTTCATAACATAACAGTTTCCTAGATTTTAAAGTTTTCTTTTTTCTTTTTAAATAAATATATTTTATTGATTTTTTACAGAGAGGAAGGGAAAGGGATAGAGAGTTAGAAACATCGATCAGTTGCCTCCTGCACACCCCCTCTGGGGATGTGCCTGCAACCAAGGTACATGTCCTTGACCAGAATCAAACCCGGGACCCTTCAGTCCGCAGGCTGACGCTCTATCCACTGAGCCAAATCAGTCAGGGCTAAATTTTTCTTATAATAGTCATAAACAATATACAACAGAAACTAAAAATGTTCATCATACACTAGTTTCCCCTTTTCCACTGCTTCACTTTTTTTGTGGATAAAAACAGAAACATTCAATGGAAAATTCCAGAAATAAGTCATCAGTTTAAAATTGCACACTGTCCCACTTCATCCTGCCTGGGACATGTATCATCCTTTTCCCAGTGTATCCTTGCTATATACCTATTAGTCTCTTAGTTGCCATCTTGATAGCCATATTAACTTTTATAGTGTTGAGGTGCTTGTATTTCATTGTTATTTTAATTAATAATGGTCCCAAAATACAGGAGTAGTGATGTCAACAATTTGAATATGCCAAAGAGAAGCCGTAAATTGCTTCCTTGGTTTAATAAGAAAGTGTTTGCTAAAGTTGCTAAGATTTATGATAAGAATGAATATTCAACCTTGAAATTATGAATCTTGAAGCTAAAGAAGGAAAAAGGAATTCATGCTTATTTTGCTCACTACAGACTATAAAAATGATGGTCACAGTACATTATAAATCCTTAGTTCAGATGAAAAAAGCCGTAAGTTTGTGGGTAGGGGAAACGAACAGAAAACATGTTCTAATTGCTGTGCCAGAAAGCATTAAGCCTATACAAAGACTTCTGCCAAGGATCCCCTGAAATGAGTGATACCAGGGTATTTACTGAAAGTAAGGGATGGCCAGATAGATTCAGGAACAGGCTTAGACTGATATAAAAATTCCTGGAGAGGCTGCATTTGATGAAGAAGAAGCCATTATTCAAGTCTGAATAATCATCATTTGTCAATTCTTTCAAATAAGCATCTTATACAAAATGTGGACCTCCCTTTCTGTCACAGAATTAAAAAACAAAAAAACCCAGATACTCAGGGGTCCAAGCTTAATTACTTTCTTAAAACTGGGGTTTTGTGGTTTTAAAACTGTGTATGGCATATAGAATGCTATAACTACTTATCATACCAGTTGGTGCCACTGCCTTGATCTGGTTAGCAGTTTTGACCACCATTGCTTTGCACTTTCACTGTATATGTAAAGACAGTGAAAACTATTGCTTTAGTATTAATATAAAAAAGTGTTGTCATTGTAGATTTCCTGAAAGAATTTACCGTATTTTTCGGACCATAAGACGCTCTGGACCATAAGACGCACCAGTTTTTAGAGAAGGGAAATGAAGAAAAAAAGATTCTGAAACAAATAGTGTCCTAAAATATTTTATGTGCATTAAAACCCAACATCACAGTCATAGACACATGTAATCAACCCTGTAAAGTAAACAGCAGCATTTAGAACCATTTTAGAGCCGGGCAAGCACACAGAGACCACACAGAGCCGGGCAAGTAAAAAAACTTTTTTTTAAAAGTATATGTGTAGGCTATATTTGGACCATAAGACGCAGGGACTTTTTCCCCCCACTTCTGGGGGGAAAAAAGTGCGTCTTATGGTCCGAAAAATACGGTAATCAGGGACCACAACAGGTTTTCAGAAAACACTTTGAGAACTCTGTATTAGGGGCTTATCTTTCCCTGCTGATATTTTATATTTGCTACTCATGTTATAGGACCATATTTTCTAGGTAAAACTTTTTAAACAATCTATACTAGGGGTGTCGAACTCAGTCAGAGAAGGGGCCAAAATCTAAAATCCAGCCTAAATCGCGGGCCGAATGGTTTACTGAACAGTCATAAACTGTCATTGTGATGGAAACGCAGCAAAGTGCAGTGATGACAGCGCGGTGCGGGCCACATTGCAAGGCCTGGCGGGACGGATTTGGCCCGAGGGCCTTGTGTTTGACACATGTGATCTATACAATTACATATTTAGAAGTGAAGTAAGTTAAAACATTCTGATTTGAATCTTCTCTATTCTGTAGTTCAAATACACTCCACCAGGTGGCATCATACCTCTGCTTGTTACCAACTCTTCCTAAAACTGAAGACACAACTTTTGATAAAGAATTTCTTCTAGAATTGCTGGTAAATATATATTAATGTTCTTCAAACTTAGCACGTGGTTTTCCCTACCTGTTTGAATCACTCTTAAAAACGTAGAGTACATAGTCTTTCCGGGCTAAAGACTCTTTGGAAATTATGTTATTATTTGGTTTTATGTGATTTTTTTTCTCATCTCTTGAATTTTTTTTAGAATTTTTAAAAAATCTTTTAAAATTGCTTTATGGCATGGATTTATTCCATACAAACACATATGAGTAACTCTTATGTCAGGCACGGGAGTTGGGTACTGTGGATCCATAGATAGCTGACACCATTCCTGCCTGTAAATTACTAGAACACATTCTTATTTAATATATCTAGTACAGTACCTTGAATATGAAGACCTACCTTTATCACTAGGAAATTCAGGAATGTTTAGAAATAAAGTTATCACTAACTTAGTGGTTTAAGAATTCTAAGGATTTCTCAGTCATTTTGGGAAGTGAGAGCTTTAACTCTTAAACTAATTCTTTTTTTAAATAAACTTTTATTCATGCAGTTTTAGGTTCATAGAAAAATTAAGGGGAAGGGACAAACCCTATTTTTAATTTTAATAAAATATTTCATAAAATGGACGAGTATTTAACCATACTACCATTATAACATTTAAGTTGCTGTGTTTACTATTACAAATAATGATACAATCCTAGTACATGCCTCTTTGTGCCCATATGTGGACATTTAGGAGAAGTACTGAGAAGTGAAGTAAATTGAATCATGTGCTGCTTATTTAAAAGATAAAAGATGCAGCCATATTATCCTCCAAAAGTTCTATATTCCCACCAATAATGTATTAAAGTATGTCTCTTTTGGCTCTTATCAATATTGACTATTACATGTTATCCCAATTTTTGCCAGGCTCAAAAAAATAATAATTTTTTTTCATTTGTTTTAGATTTTCTTTTTATACTTATACAAACATGCACTGTGGATGTATATATATGTTTTTTTACACACATGGAACCATAATGGGCATGTGGTTTTGTGACTTATATTCCAAGCTAATACTTTTAATGTAGTGTACAAAATAGAGTCCCTTACTGTAGAAAGAAAGATGATATGCTAGTTTTTGAGGTAGTAACAAGAAACTTTTTGTAGCAGATGTTTTTTAAGCCTGGTGACAGGTGTGTAAGTGCCATTTGGAGAGAAATCCTTGGCAAGGGTTTTAACTTAAATTCATGTATGGGAAATACTCTTTTTTTAAATTAAAAAAAATTATTGATATTATTTTTTCTATAACCATCAAAAATACTTTTTATTGACATATTACTTGCATGAAATGTGTGCCCTGGGTAACCATCTTTGCTTTCTTTTTTACAAATCACTTTTCATTGTCTCTGACTACAAGTGCTTTCTGAAAGTTCCTTATTGTGTTTCCTGACAATTTAACATCTTCTCTTGTAAATCAGGTTTTAAAATGAGGATTTTTCTAGGAACCTTTCTATTAGAAAATAGTTCTAAGTATAGAGTGGATTCTATGCCTTTTAAGGTTTTATAGCTAAGATTTCATCTTTAAAATTTAAATAGTTATTCCAAAAGAAAACAGTGTTTAAAATTTATAGTGCTCTAGCATTATCTTTGATTTTTCCTTCTACTAAAGGATTTCCTTAGGCTTTGGATTCTTCTAATATCTAAATTATGATTAAAAAGTTGAAATGTGCATATTATTTAGATGATATCACACTTTGTCATCTTTCCTAAAATAATGCTACCTCTATTGAAGAGAATGTGACACATTTTCAAATATATCATCTTAGCATATGTTAATTAGGCAACAAATTTAATTCAGTATTTGAGATAAATCACCCTAATATCAACAATGGAAGGGTACATAGAGTTCATAAGTCCACTTCTCTCATATTATAAATTATACTGAGACCAGCTTATTACAAAACTTGCCCAGATTGTTTAACAAGTCAGTATTAGGGTGAAAACTGTGGTCAAGGATTTGGGGCTTCCATTTTATTCTGGCATAAACTAATGCTGAGTGCTATGTTTTTTAAAGTCTTGGTATGTGCCAGGCACTTTGAAACTATTTTATAGTAGTCCATTCATTTTCATAAGAAACCTGCGAGGTGACTGACACTTTATCTTTTTCAGTGAAAAGAAAACTAAGATCAGGGAGGTTGGGGTACTTTGCCTGGCTTTTACACAGCATAAGAAGAGGTACTGAGAGTTGAGCTCACATCTGTCTGATTCTCAAAGACCATCAGGATTGTTACTTCTGCATCTTTGATTTCTTGGGAGAGGTGGGGTGATTCAAATGGGAATAAAATACCTTGTTAAGTGCTTCAGTAACTGCACAACATGAGACTTCTCAGTATATACCTTGGATGAATTTTTCCAAGAATTATTTTGATTAAAAAAAGATGCTTTTAACTTCTCCCCGAACCTGTTCTTTCAGGTATCTCGTCATGAACGTCGAATTTCTCAGATTCAGCAATTGAACCAGATGCCTTTATATCCAACTGAGAAAATCATATGGGATGAAAATATTGTCCCAACTGAGTACTATTCAGGGGAAGGTATGATAAAGAATTACAGAATCCAAATGTAGCATGAAACTTAATATAGAATTCATATGTAAATGAAAATACCCCTACGTACTATTACATTAGGATAATTTTATGTACCCTCACAGTCAACTTTAGAAGCTAGAAACTTTAGTATTTTGAATGTTTTGCTTGAAGGATTTAAATTTTAACTCAAGCCGAGCTGCAGCTGCAAAGTCCTCCTTGAACCGTGTGTGTGTGTGTGTGTGTGTGTGTGTGTGTGTGTGTGTGTTCCTGTGAAATATGACCATAAAGCAATAAAATTGTGTTTTAAGGAGAACCAAGACTACAGGAGGTATAGTCACCATAATATTTGGTAGTGCTTTTTTAGAGGCTCTTTTGAATTCCTTATAGAGCCAGGTAATGACCACCATGAAAACATATTGTCATTTGTTAATAATTAATCTTAGTTTCGATTCAAAATGGTACCACCTGGTTTGTTCACTTACCTGTTTTAACAGATCGCTTCTAAATGCTTTTGATCATCCTCTAAGAATGAGGATTCACCACAATTGAGTATATGCCATAGTGCATTCTCATACATTTTGAAAGTATATTTCAAAAATTTTGAGGAAATCTTCTGAACAGCAGTATTAGAAGTAATGTGGCTGTTTTAAAGACATTGCTATTGGTACATTTATTTAAAAGAAAAACTTCAGAGTCACATCCTAAGACATGACTCCAGTAAGCCCAATGTGCTAAAACTGTGCTAGACTTCAGAATAGGCAATCTTCATATCTCTAATGTCTGACAGTGATTAATGCATTATTTTCTAATTTTTCTTATTTGTTCATACTAAAAGCATTAATGATCATATATGTATGACATCTAACTCTTGACTAATCAGTCCCTAAAAGCCAAATAATACTTAAGAATATTTTATCTTTTTAATAAAAAGTTTATGTGCTCTTAAAAATATAAACAGGCTTATAACTAGCTTTTGGTACTAGTCAATGATGCTAGTCTGAGTTTAAGACATATTTTTATTAGTATAAAGTATTACTTTTCTTTCATTCCCATGGTTAATTTAAATAGAAAGGAGTACTTTTCAGAATTTAAGTTTTTATACATTTCATAGAATGAGATTAGTTACCAAATGGTTGGACTTCAATACAGCTGTTTTCAGAACCTTGCCTACGTGTTGCTGTTATTCACTGATCATGGATGGGGCTGAACTGTGGGGCCCAATACCTGGTGCTGTGAACTAAGTGAGACAAAAGCTCTAACTGCACCATTAGCGAGGTGCTCCTATATCCCAAGAAGAGAAAAGAAGTGTAAAATTGGGGCAGATATAAAAAATACAGTGTAAGAATTGTAAAGAAAGTCTTTGTAAACCTTCACCATTTTAAAGTCTTCTTATCCTATATAATAAAAGGCTAATATGCAAATCGACCGGAACGACCGGTCACTGTGATGTGCACTGACTACCAGGGGGCAGGTGCTCAATACAGGAACTGCCCTTGGTGGTCAGTGTGCTCTGTGGGAGTGCTGCTCAGCCAGAAGCTAGGCTCGAGGCTGGCGAGTGCAGCGGCAGTGGCGGGAGCCTCTCCTGCCTCCACAGCAGCGCTAAGGACATCCTACTGCTGGCTTAGGTCCGCTCCCCATGGGCTTAAGCCCACAGTCAGACATCCCCCGAGAGGGTGTAGGCTGGGCTGAGGAACACCCCTCTCCCTGGAGTGCACGAATTTTATGTACCAGACCTCTAGCTACAAAATAAACACTAAATATAGAACTTTACTAATTATCATAAGGGAGACACCATGAAACCCATGTAGCCACCTTGCCAGTTATCCCAGAACCCTTCCTTTCTAGTCATGGCTTCTTCCTCAATTTGAATGTGACTGTTTATCTCTTGGCTTTTATAGCCATCATTATTTTGCATTTTTAAAAGTTTTATCACCCAGTTGTATATCCCTAGACACTAAAGTCAGTCCTGTACATTTAAAAAATGTCTTTTACTTTGCAGGTACCCCCTACCTATATCTATCCCATGGAAACCTGGATAGTTTTCCATAGTCTGGATTTTTCTAAGTGACTATCAGCATGTCCCCTGCTCTTTATTTTTCTTGCAAATTGGCAACTGGATTGGCAGAGCTCAGTCAGGCTGAGGTTCTTTTTCTTTGGCAAGATTCTTGGTGTTGGTGTGTTTATTTTCATTGGGAGGCATAAATGTCTGATTGTCTCTCTTTTTGTCATATTAGTAGCCATTGCTGCTTAATAGCTAAATTTGTTAATTTGGTGATCATTGTAAAATGGTGACATTTTAATTGTCTTTTCTTTTTAAGAAAAGTATGTTGTCGAAGGAGATGCTTTCTCTCAGCCTCTGACCTGAAAGCAGTTGAATTAGATTTCAAGTCAGAGTTTACTAACATAAACAATATGAAATTTTTATACATCAGTGTTTCTTGCTTTTAAGTGTTACTGCTTTGGTAAGGATAGATAGGGATGATGAAAATATGATTTGCCAGTAAAATACGTTTTAGGTTCTTTTTCTTTTAAACTTTTGATATTGTTGCTGAGTGCTTGGTCATTTATTATCCAGGGGAAGTACTGGTAAGTGAGGATAATGGAAAGAATATTGTTTATTAATACAGTCAGAGAAGGGAAGTACCTTGAGGAATAATGTACAATCTAGGCCTTACCCTTAAAGTCCAGCAAGAAGGCAAAGGTTGAGAAGAGCAGAGTGGTGGTCATTGGAGATAGATTTATACAACTTTTTTTTTTTAATAATTAAAAAATACATTTTATTGATTTTTTACAGAGAGGAAGAGAGAGGGATAGAGAGTTAGAAACACCGATGAGAGAGAATCATTGATCAGCTGCCTCTTGCACACCCCCTACTGGGAATGTACCCGCAATCATGGTACATGCCCTTGACCGGAATCGACCCCGGGATCTTTTGGTCCACAGGCCAACGCTCTATTCACTGAGCCAAACCGGTTTCTGCATATACTCATTTAGTTTTCTTGGTAATTTTGTCTGGGACTAATTTTATGGTAGCATTATTTTAAGATTTGCCAAGTGTAAATTAGGTGATTAAGGAAGAATTTTTAAACTACTCAAGACTGTATTCAAGCATCTTCAGATACTAGTTAGAAGGGCTATTCGGATATGAATCATTGATATGCAGATTACATGTATTAATTAAATTCATTTAAAAATATATTTTTATTGATTTTAGAGAGGAAGGGAGAGGGAGAGAGATAGAAACATCAATGATGAGAGAGAATCATTGATCTGCTGTCTCCTGCATGTCCCCTACTAGGGATCAAGCCTGCAACCCAGGCATGTACTCTTGACTGGAATTTAACCCAGGACCCTTCAGTCCACAGGCCAACATTCTATTTTCTGAGCCAAACCAACTAGGGCTAAAATTCATCTTTTATTTTCAGTTCTTAATATATAGCATTTGTTAACTTGGCTTCACTTATGTGTGGAAGTAGAAATAAGATCTTATTAAATATGCTATATTTTAGACATTAAATTAGATTCTTACCAAATTTGTGATGCCTTTTTTATAGAGAAAGTAGATATCTGATTAAAAAAATAATTCAAATATGGTTGTTATTTTCTTTTCAGGTTGTCTTGCTCTTCCCAAGCTGAATTTGCAGTTTTTGACTCTTCATGATTACCTCCTAAGGAACTTCAATCTCTTCCGCTTAGAATCAACATATGAAATTAGGCAGGACATCGAGGACAGTGTCAGCAGAATGAAGCCTTGGTGAGTTAATTGGTTCCACTTGGAATGAAGCGATGCAAGCAGTGACTGACATACTTCTGTCAGAAAGCTCATAATGTATTTAGAAATAATATACCTGGCACCAAGATGCCTTCCAAAACAGGAGATACTCTTTGAGAAATTCTTTAATGTGAATGTATATCAAAAGTGCCAAAATATAAAATCTGGTTATTTGGGATGGGACTGGGGATAAGGGAAGAGAGGTCATTATCCTTGGGAGGGGGTGGGGCAGGGGAAGAGAGAAATGTAGAGAGGAGTAGGTAGGGCACTAGTAAAAGAGGAAAGGGTATAGGCTGGCCAGCAGGCCTGTACAAAGGCAGGATAGTTTAGTCCTGGCACCACTAGTCTCAGTCAGCCTATGGGAGAAGGCGGGAGGTGAGGGTGTGGCTGAACATCGCACAGAGGGGAATATTGGAAAGTCTTCCCTGGGCCTCCAAGCCATTGATTGCCTTGAAGAGACTAAATCATCAGCATTTACTCTTTGGGCCAGTTGAGAAGGTCTTGTTATTTGAGAAACTCCTTTGCTTGGACTCAGCTTCCCACCTGCTAGCTCATTCCTTTAGCTAAGAAAAGATTTTCATTCTACTTATTACAGGCAGCTCTGCCTTATATTTGTGAAGGTTAGTTTTGCTTTTTAGACATGACTGACTTGGGTAATTGCCCTTGGTCACTATTCCATTCTAAGTGTGAAATTGATGGAGATGAATTGTATACCACAAGTGACTATAAACAAGTAAAATAATTCTCTAAAATGAATTTTTGTTACATTATAGTTACGCCATGCATACATACACAATTATACTGTATTCTATATGGAAACTTAACATATTTTGAGTGTGAGCTGATTTCAGGTATTTTTCTAGGCTTCTCCC